TTTACAGAATACATTGTTTTGTTGAGTTTCTATAAAGATGTCACATACTTATATATACACATATATAAATAATTCTTCCTTTTGCTCTATTGTCTTTTTTCTAGACGTTAATTTTTCTGTTGAATTTGGTGCCTCTTGCACTAGTGCACTAGTTTTCCTTAAATAGTCATGACACTTTGTTTTATGCTCATTTTTGTATTTAGAATTCTTACTTGCCCATGTGCTCATCTATCTTGAATGACTGTAGAAAGAAATAGAATGAATTGCCAGGAACAGTAGCTTATATTCTTGCTGTGTGGGCTCCCCATATTGGGGCATTGCTCCTCTGTTCAACTCTTGCTCCCCACCACAATGCTTTGTCTTGCTTCTTACTTCTTAACTCAGTACAAGGAGAACAAAGAGATCTACCTTCCCAGTTATTCACCCTGAGTATTAACTTCTTCTAGGTGCTGACTCTCATACCTTGAAGCTCCCATACAGGTAGCTTATGTCCATACCAGTCTTCTCTGAAAATGTTTTAGAGCTATAGTTCACTATGGTTTTATTTCTCCACTGATCAGATCTTATTTATTTTCTATATTTTGTGACTTCAATATTTCTGAATTATGATACCCTTGACTCTCTGTCAGGCAATTATAAATTTATTTTCTTTTTTAAATTCATATTTTTATAATTTCACAAGACTTTTACATGAATAGTAGAATACACATATAAGCACTGAGTCCACCATGTTTACTCAACCTCCCTCTAATTTTTTAATAAGAAAAATTAAAGTTAGCCATTTTTCTTTGTGTTTCTCATACTTCAAAGGGCTATTTATAATATTAGTTACCCCTTTTCAACAAAAAAGAAAACACAAACATATTTTATTCTTATTCTGAGCTCAAACCTGGTAAGAGAAACAGCTATTTCCCAAAAGGAAATAATGATATAAAATTAAATTAGGTGAGACCAGAAGTGTCAATATAGGAACAAATGAATAATGGTGCTTGATAATGATACTTTCTCTCTCTCCAAGTCCATGATTCGATTTGCAATTGAATGGAAATGTAGTTAAGTCAAATAAGAAGGAATATGCTTCCAAATTTTTTAATGTTTTTCTACAATGGGCCATGGATATGTCCTCTTTACTTCCTTGTAAACACCTAGCCCTGCAGCATGATCTATTGAAAGAAGCATTGGTTTTAGAACAAAGTACAATTCCCAATTTGTCCACTCAAATTTTCTGCCTTTCCATTAATTATCCATAAAACTTGAATAGTAATACCTGTAACACTTGGAAAATTATGAAGTGCCTTACAAGCTTAAAGGTAGAAAAATTGTTGTATTGCAGAAGAAACAAGCCATTTTCATAGCTGCATATTTAGGTTTTGCTGTTTGGCTGACTCCTCCTGCACCCTACCACTGAAATGATTCTGTTCTTGTAGACTGAGACATACTCTCACATCTAGTCATTTGTGTCAAGAAGAAAAATAAAGAGTGAGTAGGTCAAATTACAAGTTAAATCTACAGATGGATAAATATATTGCAAAGCTATTGCAATGTTATCCTATTGCAATGCTTGTTTTTGCAATATCTAGTCCAGTTTCATTTTGTGGTATACTTAAAATGCTGTGGGAGGCTTAACTGAGACTAGAGGACATTGACCTTCACAAGGTGTTGATTGCTCCTAAAAAAATCTCATTGATGCTCAAAGGAATGGGGTGAGGTGACAACACACCCATACAGTGGTAAGAAGCCTCACAGGAACAGAGGAAGAGGAAGAGAAGGTGCCAAAGGCAAAGCAGTTTTTCCCTCGACCAGATTTTGAGTTTTAATTGGGTTTCCAAGTTCAGTTGTGTCTCTTGGGAACATGTAGACTGCCAAACTTGATTTTCAGATCTGGGCTAGTGCACATACCACCACAAAGAAATGACTCTCTGTGGAAAAAAAAAAGAAAAAGAAAAGAAAGACTATGCCTTTGAAAGAGAAGCTTTAAGCACCTCATTAATAAAAGTTCTTTTAAATGTAAAGATCGTTCCCTAGCAGAAACTTTTCTCTTATCTTACAGAATTGGTAAAATCCTTGTATTTTTCCCTCAGAACATTTATCCCAATTAAGAGCTAGCTTCTGGTTTACTCATACATAGAAATTTTGGATCTCTGAGCCAGAAGCTAGGGAGGTTTGGCAGCATGGAGTATTTTCCCACCTCCCTGCTGGGGCCATGATGGTACATCTTTATAAGTCATCAATGATGGGAAGCCCCAAGTTGTTTTCTCAAGTCAACGGCAAGTTCCTTATGGTGAATGGACACTCCTTCATAGTACAGTGATCTCTTTACCTTAATTTTCCACATTGTAGGTTATTCTTTTGTCATTGCTGGTGTTTTAGAAGGAAGCTTAGGGAAGCTTGGACAAGTTAGGGCAGATGCCAGCCTGAGGTTACCCTAAAGTGTTGACTGAGAAAGTGGATGAAGTGGGAGGTTTATCTTGAGTTCAAGTCACTTTTCTAGATCTGTTTTCCTCACTTGACAAATGAGTATTTGAACTATGATTTCCATGACCCCTCTGCCCTGATATCTTATGCACCTTGTGGTTCCATGTCTGAAATTAATTTTGTTTTAATTTTGAAGAGATAATGTTTTGGTTCTTTTTGACCTAATAACAACTGTTTTCCTTAATCAACTGTTATGTTCTCTCCTAAACCAACTTTAATTTTATTTTGAGTAAAATGTCTCATAAAATCTAAAACCATAATTTCATTCAGAGTCCAGAAATATTACTTAAAGACCTATTTTTCTATTTCCTCTAGATAGGATGAGTTTATATGATATAGTTCAAATAAGAAATTAAACAATTAGAAATAGAAGGATATAACACTTGGGGATGGCTATAGCACAATCTGCAGGTCAGTAAACAGTCTGTAAAAATATTATTAAATCAAAGGGGAAATATTTTGGAAAAGATTTTCATAGAATTACACACAATCTCCTTTTCTCTCAGAAATATGTCTACTTCTCCATTAGAACATAAAAGAGTATGATTGATTACCACAACCTTGTAGATTTAAGTCATAATAAAACCTACAGCAGGATACCTAGCTATCTGAGAACAAATGCACTTGGTTTGAGATTTTCAGCTTACAGACGTGACTATTATAGTAGCCCAACCATCCTTCAAATTCACAAGTTCACATGATTGCCCTAGTATGTGGCAATTAACATTCTATCTTATAATCAAAAGCCAGAGATGATGCCATTATCACTGAAAAAACAAAGGGTAAAGTTGCAAAAAAAAGACCATGGCTTGGATGCAGTCACCAGCCATTAAAACCTGCAGATTCTATATATTTTCCTTTGGAAAGGACCAGTCAGGAGATGACTGGCCCAACCAGTAGTACTAGGTCTTCCACAAAGCCTTTTCCCATGCTTCTCCTGTCCCCTCAGGAAATTAGCTCCATTTCATAAGGGAAAAGAGAACAAAGAATTAAAATAGGATGAGCAGGAGGATGAGAAAGCTCATTCTCAATTATTCAGTGGCTCCCCATTACCTCCAGGGTAACATGTGAGTTCCTCATTTGGACACTTAAGGCTCCCAATTTCTGTACCAGCTGACATTACAGATTCACCCACACCACAGAAAATAGCAAGGGATAGGATCAGAAAGACAACAGGGAGCCAGACCAGTCAAGACCCTGCCTTTGACTCCCAGTGAGGTGGGAGACATTAAGGTTCTGAGGAAAGAGTAACAAGAGCTGCCTTATGTGCTATTCAATTAACAGGCAGTTGGTCCTGTTCAAAAGTCTACAGAGACATTTTGTCCATGCCAGATTTCCTTATCATTTGGTCCTGTCCAAAACATTCATGCCTAGAAAATGACCCTCGGTTCAAACAGCCCATAACATTTATTTCTACTTTTAGTTTATTGGATTCATACATAAAAAAACACTATCATATTTTACTGGTCCAAAATTGTGTTGTAGCTGTAGTGCAAATAATACCCTGTTTCACCTCAGTAGACTAGCTGGTAATGACACATGGGATGAGGCAAATGGATTGGTTTAGACCAAATGTCTCTATGGACATTTGGGACGTGACCAAGTGTCCTACAAGCATTTTATTCTTATTCATTCTTCTCAAATGCATTGTACAGTTCCATCACAGAGACCCATTTACCCTGACAGAGTCCAAGCATCTCTGCCAATAGCAGTCACAATCTACCTTTGGTGTCCCTCCTACATAAAGCCGCCTTGTTTCCTCCAGCAAGATGTGTCCCTCCCTCTAGCAAGTGCTCTAGTCTTACTAATACCCAAAGTACTTGGCTTAGGCCTAGGTTTTGCATTTTCTGCCTTGTACTAACTATTAGGAGTTAGATGACAACAATAGATATGTTTGCTTCGAACCTCAGCAGAACTGCAAATCTCTCAGGCTTGGATTATATTTTATGCAGCAAAACAGTGCTATTATTTCAACTGTGAGAGAAGCCAGGTACCTCCACAAACTTAACTCAGTTTCTAGGCCCTTGCCTGTATGACAGGCATATACCAGCAAACAATTTTGCCAACAGGTCCAAAGTTCAAATCCATCCACATTTCTATGTGCGTAATGAGTGGGGGGTATTCATGTTTTAAAAAGCTAAGACAAAATTATCACCCAACCTGTTTCTTCCAACTGAACTGCCTTGGACATAAATACCTATTGTCACTCTTCAGATAAAATTTTGCAGGGATTCATTGTCTCCACCACACATTTTGGGACTTGTTTTATATTGTTCTGTCATCTTTGTTACCTTTATTTGCTACATTTATCTACTTTACCCACTAAAATGTGAGTTCTTTGGGCATGGAGTTCTCTCATAGTTATGTATGGACCCTACCTGTCCCCTCACCCACAAACCCTTGCTCAAAAACTGTTTGCAGATGGAATATTTCCATGGCTCTTCCAGGGCTTCTCCTAGCCTTCACTTATAAATGAGATACAAAAAGCAGTGGACAAAAGGTAAACTTCTGCTACTGTTTTACAGGATTTTGTGCCGCTATATCAAAACTTTGAGAATTTTTACACACGGAACCTTTACATGAGAGTAAGGGACAACTGGAACCGACCCATTTGCAGTGCCCCGGGACCCCTGTTCGACATGATGGAGAGGGTGTCGGATGACTACAACTGGACATTTAGGTGAGGCAGCCACTTTGGTTGAAAGAAAATCCTTTCAAGGAAATCCTGTTGTGGGTATCAGATTACAGATCTGAAAAACCAAAGCTTGGATGCAACTGGTCTCCCATCATTTAGCTTTTGCAAGCCCTCATATGCTAATGAGGGAAGTCAGTAATTATGCAGCCAAAGTGGCTTGTTTATATTGCAGTTTAAGTGAGACCCATGTCAGACAGTGCAGGATACACAGAGCCAGCAAGGAAAAGCCCTTTTTAGCTTTATTGACAAATTATACCTTCCAACTTCTTGCTGAAAGAGACCGGGATGATTGTGTTATTCTCATTTAGAAAGTTCTTGCTGGACTTTAAACCAGAGCACACGTGTCATGAAAGCAAGTGCTCAAGGCAAATCAGAGCTAAATAATACTGCATGGCTGGGATACCTTTTTGTAATACTCTATTCAGCTTCCTCATTGGGGGTACTTTCCACTGAGGGCAAACCAGTTTGTGGTGACAAGTCTAAAAGAAAATAAATGATTTGGACCAGACCCAAGATCTCTTTGGGAGAGTCTTTTGGGGGGCACTAGGATGATATTAAATGACAAAGCCCTGTGTGCTCACCTGTCCTCACTGCAGGTTCACTGGAAGAATCATCAAAGATGTCATAAACATGGGCTCCTATAACTTCCTTGGCCTGGCAGCCAGGTACGATGAAACTATGAAGACAGTGAAAGATGTTTTAGAGGTGTATGGTGTAGGTGTGGCCAGTACCAGACATGAAATGGGTATGTATGTTCATTATTTTGAAATTTTGTCTAGTTGGGTCTGAGATTCCATGTGGCTACTTCTCAAATCTAGATCATATCTAGACTATGTGCCCCCAAAAGCTGTTATAAAATGCAAAAGGGAAAAGGTATGTGAAAGTCTTCATGAAAATTTCACACGTTATGCTCTCACCAAATAGTTGATTAATTACAGATTTTAGTTCTTCAGAATATAAAAAATGTGTCTTTCCTGACCATTATTGTCTAAAATAATAAGTATGGCCTCTTTTGCTTGGTACCTTTCTTTTTCTCTTTTAAAACAGATTTATTAAGGTACAATGATACTTAAAAACTGTATTTATTTTATATATACACTTTGCTAAGTTTGCACATATGCAGACACCATGAAACCATCACCACAATCATGGTAGTAAACGTATTTATCACCTCAGAAAGTGTATTCATGTTCTCTGTTTTTGTGGAAAGAGTACTTAGCATGAGATATAACCTTTTAACAAATTCTTAAGTTCATAATAAAGTACTGTTAACTACAGGCACTATGTAGTACAGCGGATATCTAAAACTTACTCACTTGCATAACTGAAACTTTCCACCCATTAAAAAGTAACTTCTCATTTAGGTTTGACTCTTTCTCCCGCTTTTCTGAATGGTGTCCATCATTGATTTTGCATTTATATTTGTTCATTGCCTATCTCTGCTACTAAAGCATAAGCTTCTGAAGGAAAGAAGTAGTAGCCTGTTGACTGTTGGGTTGAATGAATGAATAAATGAGTGAATGATGAACACCATAAATAGGCAAGGTACAACAAACTGCTTATTTATTTATTTCTTACCTGAAACTTTCTCTCTTATTTAGAGGAGGGAAATCAGAGAGAAGGAAACTACTACACCACTTCAGGGAGGAAGAGTGATATGTGCTTCCCCCTGTAGAGTTCTTTGCTATTTCTGGCACATGGTTTTCTTGCATATCATCTCATTTATTCTTCACAAAAATCCTGCGCTGTGCTAGGCAGCATAGTTGGTGTTATTCCCATATTCTACAGAAATAAACTAAGGATGATAGTGATTAAGTGATGCCTTATTAATCTACTTAATTCCCAGTGTACCTCAGTGATTGTTACTACAGCCGTTTCCCATCCAGGATAATATATGCAGGTCACCCAGATCAGTTTCAGGACCAAGAATCATAAATATGCTAAAAAGAGATTTACCATTAGTGAAAAATGAGTCACAGTTTAGGTAACCAGTTGGAATAAGGGCTCTAAAAACATGTAATTATTTAGATCTGTGCAATAAATAGCACATCAAATTGAACAAAGTAAATTTTTAATTAAAGTAACCAGTAAATATTTAGCTAAAGCTCCAGAATGTGGTTGCCCACATTTTTGAAGAAAGACATCTTCCTTGTCTTAATTTGAGACATGAGGGCTGGAGGTATGAAAAGCCGAGTATGAAAAAAAAGTTCTACTTCAGTTGAACTGGGTTGCCCACGATGCCCCATTTGGCAATGGGGCAGAGGCTGGAAGAAGATCCCTGGTCATAAGAGACATGGAGTCAGTAACATTTGGGGATGTTTCCTCTAGTGGTAGTGACACCCGACACCAGGACTATTAACAAACTAGACAGAAAACGCATTCCTGAGTATGATGAACCATACCCTTCAACTTACTGAGACAGAACACTCCCACATCACAGCCCGCAGAAGCTGAGGAGCAGGAGCTTGACACAGGCAATGGTTTTCTTCCAGTGGAAGCCCCATGTGGAATACAGGTCCCTGATCCTGCAGGCCCAACAAACCCAGAGAACCAAGCAGAGGTGAAGATCCTAGTTAGGACTGCCTGCAACCTCAGTTCTCTCCCTTCCTACTCACCCTTCTAAAAAGGTCGGTTTTAATACTTACCTGCTTCATTGAGCTCTCCAGCTCAAGCTCTAAGAAGACTTTAACAGTTTTCAAGTAAACAGTGAAAAAGCCAAACAGAAACTATTCACACTAATTTTAGGCAAATAACAAGACTAAAAGCAAGGATATAAGCAATCCAAAGTAAATGAGTAAATAGGGTACATTTAAAATCATTCTGCACCATAAATAGTAACCTGAACATAACATGGAAGAATTAGTAGCATAATTTTGAATGCCATTTATTTCAAGAAACATAAGTAACTTTTGAAAAACTTAAATTATATAGTCTTAAGAAAATGTTTAATAGTAACAGCAGATTAACAATGAAAAATTGGGGCTACAGAGATTTAATTTTTAGTAACCTAATAACTTCCTGAGGAACCAAAAGTAAAATTTAAGAGTGTTTTTAATAGCTTAAAAAATACTTCCAATAGCTTTAAAAATAGTTTCCAGTGTCCTGGGGAGAAAAAAGAACACTGAAATTATATTACAAAATAGGAAAATTAAGCAAAAATAAAGATCTAGAGGAAATATTTAAAACATAATAAAGAGATAGAAGACCACACATATTATTTTGACCAAAAATGTGTAACTAGAACATATTTACCTGTTGAAAGAAAAGAACTAAGATTTGACTGAAAACCTAAATTTAACTATGTGCTGTAATCAAACAAATACAATGAAATTAAATTAAAGTTATTCCAAAGGATAAGAGTAGAAAGATAGGTCCCAACCAGGCACCTGGTTCCTTCCTTCCTTCTGCAACCACCAGCAAAAAACCTCAGTGCCGAAAGGGAGGTCGATTTAGTGGAAGGAGCCACAAAGGAGTCCAAGAGTAAGGTTGCTTGCCAAATCTGTACCTGCAAATGTTCACACTAAGCCCAAAATATATTGGAAACAACACATTTCCAGACAGATATTACAGAATTGCAAGTGCTATATTTAAGAACCAAAATGATGTGTACTGTTCATTTTGGGGTACAACTAAAAGTAATGGGATACAGAATTAAGGGAGGCTTTGACTCTTTTGTCAGTCAATATAACAATCCACAGGCTGATGGTGCTGGGAGGGCTGTGCATTTTTTATGTTGTGACTCTGAAGCAGAGTGAAATGGCAATTTGGAGTCATAATCAAGCACTTAAGATGGCTGATATTTTAGATTTTGTATCTTCTATACTCATGTTGTTTTTGTTAGAATGGTCCCTGATCTAGGCTGTCTTCTTCAAATTGTGGGTATGCTATGTGTGACATCTTTGGTAATTATAGGGTAGTTTATCCTAATAACTTGGTTAATGTGCTGTGAAAGATTAGAAATTGTTGAGGGTTGTGTGTGTGTGTGTGTGTGTGTGTAACATTGTGTTGTGAATTCATAAATTCTAGAGTGAACACTTTATCGAAAGTGGTAGAGACTGATACTCAGTATTCTCTTTTTAAGGTGACTTGTCCCCATATTTTTAGTTGGAAAGTCACTAGAATGACTGCAGATTCTAAAACTACACAGGTCTTTAGACTTTCAGCACTGAGATTGAAAAGCATATACAAATTATTCATAATGTCTGAGTATTAACATCAAACAATAATCAGTAATATCTCTATTATGTAAGATATTACCACATTGATCTTTGAATTTCTGTATCTGAATGAACTATTTAATTTTTCTGTATGTAGAAGACGTTTGAATATATTGGTTTAAAGATGAAAGACATAGGCAGCAACCCATGAGCAAAGTGTTAAATGCATAATTGCTTGTTTTTCTTGCATATGAATTAAGCTTAAGTAAATAAGAAGCTGAAACTTAAAAACAAATACTCAACAGCCTAAATGTGTGGTGCAAATGGGAATAAGAAGGAAAGCAGAAGTTAAGTTTAAGTTATTAATTATTAAATATGTTCATCCTAGAAAAATTATACAGAGAGCCCATAATGAAGATGGATATAACTCCTATATCTTCTATACATCAAGTAACACAGCAGAGATATACATAGCTGTTTAATTTTTTTTGTACAACTGGAAATTAGTAGGATAATGAATATGAGAGGCTCTGAAAATCATGTGGCTCAATTTAAAATTTCACAAGGTTCACAAGCTGATTAGAAAAAAGGCAAGAAAAATAAAAAAATGAAATAGTGATAGGAGACCACAAAGTACCTCCTAGTCCTTGAAAAATAAAGAAGAAAATAAAGAAAGACATATAAGACATTAACAGTGTAGTTGTTTAGTTTAATATTAAAAATGTATTAAATGCTGAACCTTAAAATATATTGCTGGTATACTGCATCTTTTTAAATAATCACTGAATTTTAACCAACATTTACTATATATTATGCCACAAAGAGAACCTCGTTAAATTTCAAAAAGTGGAATCTACATGAGTAGATTTTTGGATCAGAGTGAAATAAAGCTAAAAATTAATAACAAAATTAGAAACAAACACTTTTAAAAAAATCAATTGAAGGATTTAAGAGGCCTTTCCTAGGAGGCCTTTGAATCAAAAAGGGAATAAAATTTACAATTACATCATATTTAGAAACTAACAGCTGTGGGAACCTCATGGGATCCAGGGAGATTTGTACTCAGAGAAGCAGGTATGTTCTTTATTAAGAAGAAAGATTGAAGCTAATAAGTTAAGCATTCAGTGCAGTAAGAAATAAAAGGAAAGCAAAAATCTTAGATTATTAAAGATAAAAACACACCTTAAGAATTAGAGAAGAATAATTACTGTTGGCTGAGTCAACTGTATGTTAATAAGTCACTTAGAGATGATTCTGATAAGCAGCCAGAGTTGGCAACCCCTGAGTTCACATACCCTGATCCAACAAGAATTTAATAAAAGGAAATTTATTAGGCAGTATTACTTAGAAAAACATTATTATTAGCACTGCAAATCCCAGTGTATCCAAATAACAGGATAGCATGATCAATTAGTTTTAGTCCAGAAGTGTCCAAATTTTGGCATCTCTGCACCACACTGGAAGAAGAGTTGTCTTGGGCCACACATGAAATACATCATGACATGTAATCACACACACAAAAATCTCATGTTTTAAGTAAATTTATGTTTTTATGTTGGACTGAATTCACAGCCATCCCGGGCTGCAC